AATCCTACTTCCGTAGTGATACTGCCTCGGAAACCCAAGGAGGGGTCGCTATGAGTCGGGGCCGACTCGACAGCACATAACAACAACAACTAACAGTGGTGGGACTCCATCAGTCTCTCCACATCCTTACCAGCATTTGTTGTTTTCTATTTTTTTGAACTTTGCTATTAATGCTGGGGTGAGTTGATATCTCCTTGTTGTTTTGATTTACATCTCTCTAGTAGCCTCGGAAGGAAGGTTGGGCAATCTACTTCCATAGTGATATTGCCTTGGAAACCCAAGGAGGGGTCGCTATGAATCAGTCTACCTCAATGGCAAATAACAACAATGGCTAATGATCTTGAGCATTTCTTCATGTGTTAGTTAGCTGTCTGAATGTTTTCTTTAGTGAAGTGTCTGTTCATATTCTCTGCCCATTTTTAAATTTGATTATTTGTCTTTTTGTTGTTAAGGTGCTGAAGTTCTCTGAATTTCAGAGATCAATCCCTTATCCAATGTGTCATTGCCAAAAACTTTTTCCCATCTGTGGGTTCTCTTTTTACTCTTTTGGTGAAATCTTTTGATGCACATAAGTGTCTAATTTTTAGTAGGTCCCACTCATTTAGTTTGTCTTCTGATGTTTGTGCATTTTTAGGTATGCTTAATAGTGTATTTATGGCATGAATTATGGCCCTTAAATTTGCCCCTATTTTTTCTTTGATGGTCTTTATGGTTTTAGGTTTTATGTACATGTCTTTGATACAACTTGATTTCATTTTTGTATATGGTGTGAGATATGAGTCCTGTTTCATTAATCTGCAAATAAATATCCAGTCTTTCCAGCACCATTTATTAAAGAGACTTCTGCCATTTAATGAGTTTGGCTCTTTGTCAAGATCAGCTGTCCATAGTTTGATGGATTTACTTCTGGATTCTCAATTCTGTTGCATTGCTCTATGTGTCTGTCATTGTACCAGTGCCAGACTGTTTAACTACTGTGGCTGTATAGTAGGCTTTGAGATCGTGGGAGTATGAGGCCTCCTACTTTGTTCTTCTTTATTGGTGCTTTACTTATCTGGGGCCTCTTTCCATATAAAGTTAGTGATTAATTTTTCCATCTCTTTAAAGAAAGATGATGGGATCTGGGTTGGGATTGCATTATTCCATAGATCACTTTGGGTAGTATTGATATTTTCATGATGTTAAGTCTTCCTATCCATGAGCATAGTGTATTCTTCCACTTCTGCATGCCTCTTTTGATTTCTTGTAGTAAATAGTGTTTTGTAGTTTCTTTTGTACGAGTCTTTTGTGTCTCTGGTTAGATTTATTCCTAAGTACTTCATGGCTCTGGTGGCATAGTGCCTAAGGCGACTGCTAACCAGAAGACTGGTGGTTCAAACCCACCAGCCATTCCTCAGAAGGAAGATTGGACAGTCTATTTCCTTAAAGATATCACCTTGGAAACCCAAGGAGGGGTCGCTATGAGTCAGATTCAACTCGATGGCAGTGAGTTTTTTTCATCTTTTGGGTGATTATTATAAATGGTATTGCTTTCCCGATTTCCTTTTCAGAGTTCTCTTCATTAATGTACAGTACTTTTCATTAGCCACACTATATTTATTTTCATGCAGGGGACTTAATACCCTTTCATATTGAGTTCAAGTGCCATGGCAGGGCTTATAAGCTTCTGAAACAATGGAATATGTAACCAGCAGAACCTTTCTTGGTGCTTTTTAGAGGAAAACCAAATAAAACAAAACCCACAGCAACCTTTTAGGACAGAATAGAACTGCCCCCATACGGTTTCCAAGGCTGTAAATCTTTACCAAAATAGATTGCCTCATCTTCTTCCCATGAAGCCGCTGGTGGGTTTGAAGCACCTATCTTTTGGTTAGCAACCCAATGCCTTAACCATAGATCCACCAGAGCTCCTTTTGAGATGAAAAGGAGCTCAATTTCTTTCTTTCTTTCTTTCTTTCTTTCGACGTTTTATCGTGATTTGGGTGAAAGTTTAGAGCAAATTAATTTGCCATTCAACAATTTATATACATTTTGTTTAATGACATTAATTGTAATCCCCTCAATGTAACAATACTCTTCTCACTTTCTCCCTGAGTTCCTCATTTCTATTCATCCTTCCTTCCTGCCTTCAGAGCTTTTGTTTTTGGTCAAATGCTGCCTTTTTGGTCTCATATAGTTGATTATTCTGAAAAGCACATTCTTCCCTGGTGTTATTGTTCACTTTATAGGCCTGCCTATTGTTTGGCTGAAAGGCGATCTCAGGAGTGGGTTCAGTTCTAGGTTTGAAGGGTGTCTAAGGGCCATAGTCTCAGGGGTTCCACTGGAGCTCAATTTCTTGGATGGTTTGAGGCTAGCTTTTCCTGGGCTGTAAGAGTGTTGTGTTGTGTTGTTGGTATGTGCCGTCGAGTTGGACCCAACTCATAGTGACCCCTCCTTGGGTTTCCAAGGCAATATCACTATGGAAGTAGATTGCCCAACCTTCCTTCTGAGGAGTGGCTGGTGGGTTTGAACCATGAGCCTTCTGGTTAGCAGTCAAGTGCCTTAGACACCATGCCACCAGAGCTCCCGGGCTGTTAAGAGTAGGCTAGATAATGTTTCTCATCCTTTTTCTAACCCTTACCACCAATCATAAAAATTTCATGGACTTCTTTAAAATGGTTTAAATTTCCAAAATAATCATTGTGAATAAAACAAACCAATCAAAGCCACAGATAATTTTCAAATATGCTTTCTGAAACTGCACATGCTCCCTCTGAGATTCAGATAGACCCCACTCTCACTCACAATTTGAGTCATTGCTTTATTCTTAGCTCCTTGATTTTTAAAAAAATTATATGTTTAAAAGAAGAAACTTCTAAGTCAACCTGTTATAATGGAAAAGCATGAGAGACCTGGAGTCCAGGCTCATCTTCACCACTCCACTTTAGGCAAATCACTAAACTTCTGAAACTCATGTTCTTCCTCTGCAAAATGGAGACATTAAAAAGCTCCACCCTGCTGCCCTCCCAGTTTCTTTGAACATGAAATAACATGTAAAAGTGTGCATTGTCCTGACTATTGTGGTCAAAGTCATCCCTTCTGGTTCTTATGCCTAGGGAGTTCTATGGAACCAAGCACTGAAGAGAAAAGTTTAATCAGTGGTAAAACAGCTGAATCAATTGCAGAAGAAGATGATGATGTATTTGTGGCGTCACGCACAACTGAAGATTTATTTACTGTGATACACAGGTCTGGACCCATTTCCTTAATTCTAATTGCAGTTGTCTTCCCATTGTATAATGCAAGAAAAAATGCTACCTTCAAGCCACCATTAGAATTGTAACTGGAGGCTAATTCAGATAACCACATATGTGAGCACAGTCAAGGGCCTCATAGCTCAAGTTCACTGACATCTTTGGATGGAGGTCCCAGTCTCCTAGCAACTGCTTGGCTTACTGTAGCTCTATCTGCTAACTCATAGCTCTGTTTACAGTCAGAGACATTTAACCCTTCACGGAATTCTTTATACCGAAATATTTAATCAAAAGGTGAAGTGGGGCACAAGGTGGAGTATCAAAGCAGGAACTCAGGCAAAGGGGGGACAGATGGGGACCAGTTATTGGCTTAGTGACAAGGTAACGGGAAAGAGCCCAGTTATGGGAATTAGGGCACCAGTTCATAACAGAGTCCTCAAGCTGTATTGATTTTGGGTCTATGAGCTACTAGCCTTTACTCCTTAGAACCTTCCTTGACCCCAGAACCTGGGCAGGACTGAGCCTACAGGCACAGGCCAAGTGAATCCAGCTGTGGGCACTGAAAAGAGTTTGGGGTGGGAAGTGGTCCCACAGGAGACTTTGAGGACTTAGAGCTAAGCAAGCTGGTAAATACTACTGCTTGCAAGGTTGTTGTGTAGGAGTTCTCAGGTTATGTCATTAACATTCATGACGTTATATGAAGCATTGGTAAATGTCTGCTGCATGAGTTTACTTAAACCAAACTTTCTTTTATTTAGGTCCAAAAGAAAGGTGCTTGGCTGGAAGGAGCCTGGTGAGGGCTTTGTTGGCAGCAGACTGAGCTCCTACTCACCAATAAAGAATACAGCTGATTCTCCAACCAGTGAGTCTGCTGCCTCTGCAGGGTCAGGCATCAATGCCAACCTATATGCTGGGAGAAACGATGATTTCAAGGCCCTGCTACAGAAGAAAGGAAGTAAGGTAACTCCAAGGTCCCGCACCTCAGCAGCTGAACTGCTAAAGACCACCAACCCTCTGGCTCGAAGAATTATTGCACAGTTTTCAAAAGACTATGAAACCACTGATAACTCTAGTACCTAAACCCTGAGTTCAGCAAATATGGTTTAATTACTAAACATGAGAAGAGAAGGGGGGAGAGGAAGGGTTTTAAAAAGGAACCATGAGAATAAAAAGGAATTCTACACTTTTTTTTTTTTTACATGAACTCACAGTATGGACAGCAGGAGAGAGACCACTTCATCCACAGCTAAAATCATCAGGCCCTTTAATCATCTTCAAATATTTTATGTTCTCATCCTTACGATTTTTTCATTACTGACTACCAATTTTCTTAATTTACCCTAACGATGTGCACTGAGAAGAAATTTCCAGTCTCAAGGGCATACATGCCAACTTTTAAATCAAAGGCTGGACTGCTCTATTCCTGGCTCCAGTGACAGAGGGGAATAGCGTGACAGCATATGGAGGACTGCCAAACCTGGCAGGCCTAGGGTGCCACTGCTGATTATTCACTTTCTGATGAAGCCTTCATGACCCTGTTTGGAGCTACAGAAGATTCTGGTGCCTCTTCAACCACAGTTTTACTCTCCCCCATGAGAGGTTTGCAGCTGTGCACTTATTTCAGCATAAAGCTGATTGGATGTGATCCTATCCCAAAACTTCATGAGTTTTTTCAGTTTTATTGTCTACACGGAAGTCAGGGTGATGAGTTTCCGTAAATATATAGCATACACACACACCCATTAGCTAAAAAAGATCAGGACTAAATTGTCTTGGATGAACCAAGTTCAGCCAAAAGACAGGGGGCAGCCTTTTGTTCACTCAGATCTATCCAAGGTAACTCATACGTGTGCCTTGAGAACCTTCAAATATCTGTCAGTAATGACAGCTGGATCTGTGCCCAGCTCATGCTGCATTCTAAGAACTCTTGTTTCATTTGCATGCTGCATTCATTACAGGAAGAAATTAGTTGAAGGAACAGCATCATTAAAAGCACAAGAAGGATAGAAAGTAAGTGGAACTTGCCCACCCCAATTTAGTTCAGATCATGGTTTGTGGTTGTTTTTGTATTTATTTAGAGAAAGTCTTAACTGTGTTCAAAAAACCAGGAATATATAGACTAATGGAACAGATCCAAAATCTAAAAGGCAGGCTCACAATTTGCTATGACTCATAACACACACACACACAAAAGGGGCTACTTTTTGCCATTTAGTTTCTGCTGTTTGACCAACTTTCAGTCTTGGGGAGAGTGCAGGAACTGGGATAAATAGGATGTGACAGAGTACCAGAACAATCATCTCCATCTTTTCCCTGCCCATAGAGTTTATAGGTACTAACTATCCTTGTCAGTTCAGTTTTCTAAGCTGAGAAAGAGGAGTGACTCATTTTATTTTCCTATGCCTGATTTCTGGAGTGGGGCAACACAGACAAAGCACTGAACAACAACAAAAAAAAAAAAAAACCCTGCTGACCAATAATGAATTAATTGCCTACCCTTCCCAGGAGAGAAAAAGAAAAATCAAATGAAATTGTATTCTGCTTCACAAAGATTGCTCCCTAGCCCCTTCCTCTCCCACTCCTCCCAAAGATTCATTAGTTAACCTCCTGGAAGATGCAGTAATAGCCTCAGAGACAAGCAGTTCTCTTTATTTTGATAGGTCATATTGCTCACCAGTGAGAAGCAACCTCTTAGCTCAACTGCCCACACTCCAGCAGGACATGGGAGCTGAAAAACCACATTCAGTTCTGAGAAGACTTGGAGCTCTCACATAAAAGCCCTAGGGCCTATGCCCTTGGTTGGTACAGTTCTGAATTCGAGACTTCTTGGCACAGGCCAGGCCCACCAATTCCCTTGCAATCAGCACTTTCTCTTGATTTAGAAATAAACCATTTAAAATAATAAACAGCTAGGGAAATTGCTCAAATGCTAGGGAAAAGCCAATTCGTTTTGAAAGTATTTGAACTATTTGGATTGAAGAGCTTGACCAGATTTCAAGTTTTTTGCCTAAAATAAGATAGATTCATTCCTGGCCTTAATTTATGTATGAATGCAACACATGTCTGCCCCAGAATCAGAATTCCCAAAGGCTGAAACATTTCCTTCTGTAAGGAAAAAAAGGAAGATTTGTGCTAACAAAAGTGAAAGGCTGACAGAGCCTATGCTTTGTGAACCATTATGAATAATTGAACTCTAAAGCCTAGTATGAAACTCATATAGCATAGGCCTTGTTACTTCTGCTAATTTTTCTGGAAGTTTCTTGTTTGCTATTTCTAGTGGATATCACCCCTCCCATTACCTTGTTACCTCTGTTGGTTTTCCTAAAAGATTCTACAACTGAATGCCCAGACACCTTTGCACTTTCAATTATTTTGATCCTTGCTTTCTTGTACAATACTCTGTATGTCTGGAATCTTTTAGATCATCTTCCACATCATCACTATGGCCCTCAAAAGCCCAGTGGTGTTCCCATTAGCACAAGAGGATTTGGGCCGGAGGTTTTATGGTCACAGATAACACTTAGGACTAGAAATATTCATTTCATACTTTGCATCAGGTAGGCCTAATCCCAAACAACCAAAATGTAAAATTTCTGCCAATCATTGACTAACCTAACACCAAACATCTTTCCTACTCCTAACACGCAACCTCTCTCCTACCCTCTCTTTCTCCCACCCCAAGAACAGTGTTTGCTACCTTCTGAACCTACTCTGCTGAGACTGGAGAAGAGAGGCTGAAAGCCCTTTTCAGGAAGACTTTCAGAGAGCTAATAGTAATAATAGTTTTTAAAATGGGATACAGAAGATATTTGAGTGAAGTAAAAGTTGACCCTAGGAGGTCAACTTCCACTTCAAGCTATTTCTATAACTTTTTTCCTCTGATTACACTCAATAGCAGCGAGTGGCTCTGTTAGACTGACTTCAATCTTATCACGAGTAGAGGGAACCAGCCTTAGGAGAGGAGATTAAGTGGATAAGGCATTTGGCTGCTAACCAGAAGGTCAGCAGTTCAATCCCACCAGCTGCTCCATGGAAGGAAGATGGGCAATCCACTTCTGTAAAGATTTACAGCCTCAGAAACCCAGTGGAGGTTGCTGTGAGTCAGATTCGACTCAATGCCAGTGAGTTTGGAAGAGTGCTTTGCACTTAATGGGTATTCATTACATATTTGTAGTCTAAATGATGAGAGTGGAGAGCAAGATATTCTCAGGAAAACATTAAGTTTTGCTGGTGTCTCCTCTCCTTTGCCTTCGCTACTTTGCCTCCCTCAGCCCCTCGCCTGGGCCTCCCATCTGGCCCCAATTTGTCCCTCAGCCCCAACTCCCATGAACTGCATCCCTAGAAAATAGCTAACACATAAAAGAGGGTAGACAATAGGCAGAAAAATAGTTCATGTTAGTTTAATGACCATAAATTGACCAGTTTATCTGGTGAACTCAACTTGAATGTGAGTAGAGGAGATTCTATAAGGCTCTTATAACAAGCCTTTCACCTGACATCCACTTTAACTATCTAGACAGCATAGACCTATTAGTCTGAGCTATCTGTCCATAGGCTTGGCCTCTTCCTCATAAAAAAATAAAAAAACAAATTCATGGTCAGTGATCTGTTCCTCACTGGGTTAGCCTTCTATTATTAGCAAGCCACAATGGTGAACTTTAATATGATTTTCCAGGGCCAGGACAAGGGTGAGGTAAGTGAAGCTCCTAGGGCACAAAATTTTAAGGAGACATCCATTCTCAGGGTTGTGCAAGTTGTTACCCTAGTCCTGGCCCTGATTTGCACTCTATAAAATAATATCAGTTGATCTTCTTCCTATGAACAAGTATAATTCTTCTGATTTTTTGGTAATCCCTATCTGTTATTGCACCAAATGTTTTACTGCTATCTATTTTTCCATTGTTTTACACCTATGTATACCTATACATTAAAGAATCATCTATGTTACCTGAAAACAGTTTATTCATAAGTAACCTGCTGCAAGTGGCAAGTTAACACCCATTTCAGTAGGGATGCAGACAGTGACAATCCTTAAGCAAAATAGGGAATGAGTTGGAGGTCTATCATTGGGATCCTCAGACTTCTCTTTCTGCTCCATTCTACCCCAAACTTTGCCTTTCCAGCACCATCTTTCCTCAGTGCTTCCTAGTTTTTTCTCATCCTTTCTATGAAAAACATGCTTTCAGAAAAGGGATTAATTCATTAATTTTGAGATTATCGGGCTTAATCCTACTTCTTTTGAGGGTCACTTGCATTTTAACAGGGAAAATCTTAAGCCAAAAGAATGAAGTTCTGTTTACAGAATTTTAAGTATCAGCTAATTGTAGAAGTATATTTTTGACCATCCATTGAAAGGTCAAATTTCTTGATGACTAACTCCAGTAAATAGAAAATAGCTTAATCTCCTGGAACTATTTTGGTTAATTTCTGGTATTCAATTAAATTGTCTTGATGCTCGATGCTATTCAATACAATTACTACTAAGAGACTCTCAGAAATTATTAAGACCACTGAGATGGCCTATATAATACATAGTGTACATTAACCTTTTTATGTCAATGGAATTAATATTACTTACCATGGGAGTAGGAGCTCTGGTAGCATAGTGCCTAAGGCACTTGACTGCTAACCAGAAGCCTGGTGGTTCAAACCCACCAGCCACTCCTTGGGAGGAAGGTTGGGCAATCTACTTCCATAGTGATACCACCTCGGAAACCCAAGGAGGGGTCTCTACGAGTCATGTCCAACTCGATGGCACATAACAACAACAACATGTGAGTAAAATAACACAAGTATTTAAAGAGTTTGTGAGGCTATATCCTGTTTGTGAAAAGTGAAACTGCCCAATCAATGTTCTTATTCAGTTGTCTGGTATCAGTAGTGATTATTAAACTTACTGGAGGCAGAATTTTACTAAACAGAAATCTCTCTTTCCCCCCACCCAATCTATTTTATGTGCAGTCACTTCGTCTTGGTGTGAAAATGAGACAATAGCTAGATTAGAGCACCCAATTCCTCCAAAGCCTTTGTATGTATTTCAGTTATAAGTGACTAAGATATTAGAGAAAGAGATACAAATA